AAATGACAAACAATACCTGATAATATTCACCTACTCAGCTAAATCGCAGAATAGTACTCAAATGTACATTTTTAACATTCTTAATATTGTACCGCATGTTTTCTGGTCAATTGTTCTCACAATTTTTTAAAGTATATAAGACCTAGATTGCCATGATCAAACTTTTAAGAAGGAATAGAAAATGTCATGATTGGGGAAGCAATTCAGCACTAAAAACACCTTCTGTTGCATTACTGAATTTTTTATTAAGAAAACACAAAGTTGTTAGTGCATATAAGTTAGGATAAAATCTATACAGAGTTTGGTGAGTCCTTTTAGCAAAAATTATGATTGAAAAGAACTGAATCTCTGTAGGTAAATAAATAAAACATGGTGAGAAGTATACTGTTTACCAAGACCTGAGTGAAACAGAAAACATTTAAAAGACCAAGAAAAAAAGGAGGTAATTGTTAGGACTGTCAGCAGGGGATCGCTGTGATAATTTGATCTGAACTCTGCTAACAAATCATTGCACCATTCCTTTTACTTTAGTATCTGTTTATGCTTCTACAAATTGAAACCCCACTGGCTATGTACTGCAGAACAGGGCTCAGCAGAATAACACATCAGCCTGCCGATTAGTTCAAGGTGGAGAAGGATTAGTTGGCTATCCCAAACCTACAGCCCTCCTCAATATTTTGTCTTTCCCTGCTGAGGTAAAAGGGTGCAGACATATGTAAGTAATAAACTAACAGGCTTCCATCTACTTGAGGTTGAGTGGAAGGAATGCAGAACAAAACTATAAAATAATAATAGACAAAGGGGTAGTGAAGACTGGGGGGAACTCAATACCACATCTGCTAAACTAGGCTGTGATGTAGCACCAGGATGCCCATAAGTTTTTAAAGATGTAACTATGCTTTTTTGTGATCTTGCGGCACACTGATATGGCCTAGGCGTGCCAACATTTAGAGCTGACATGAGATCAAAAGGCTGATAAATGAGAGGAAAGGGGATGTTTGACCTGCTAAACCATATTCTTCAAGAATTCAAGGCTTTTTAAAGCAATAAGAAAAGTAATAAATAACTGCATCTTGAATATATTGTGGCATTCTTTCCTGAGAAACATTAATAATATCCACATATATTATATACATTTTATTTAAGAATACATATGAATTCACATGTTTGTTTATTGAAGCAGAAACAAAATCTCACTTCTGATAGAAGTTATTTTAATTCATTTTGGGAACTGAATTTAATTTATGGCTTGTAGTTTCTGGACAGTATATTTCTAACTGAATATAAAAAAATAACTAAAGCAACAGCAGGTTGAGAATCTGAAAACACAAAAAACAGGAAGTTCAGTAAGTTAAAATGGGCCATTTCCCACATCCGATTTATTTATTTTATTTTATTTTATTTTGTAATTAACCAAGGTTGAAATCCTGGCTCCACTGAAGTTGACAGGAATTTTGCCACATAATTCAATGGGGTCAGGATTTTACACTTACTATCATTGACCCTTGTCTTGCCAAGCCAATGAGACTCCACAAAGGTGTCAGAGTTAGCTTGAGTGTATCCCTTTTCAGGCCTGGGATGCTAAAAATTAAGATCCCATGTTTTAAAGTTTACATTTGGCAAAGAAAACACCAGTAGAAAATGGAATGTGAGCTAGATAGATGAATCAACATTTCATGACTCTTATAATGTCTAACGTATATATGCTAGATTTTTCAGCCTCCGTTTTGCACTGGATTTTTCAATTTAAGCTTCTATATTTTGTTTGATTTTTTTAAGATGAAACTTTACTTTTTAACACTTGCCAAACAAAGCTAACATCTCTGTGGATTAACACACGAGGAGTCAGTTGTACTTGTCAGGTAAAGACCTGTATGTGAAAACATCCTGCTCCACTGGGAGCACTAGAGGCATTCTGCCTGAGAGAAAATGCCTCTCAGAGCTCCTAAGCCTTCATGAGGACACACACAAATTGTGCACATCGATGGGTGGTGGATGAAGGCCCAGCTAGGGAAGGCAGCTGAAGCCCTGTGTGGGGTCTGTCTACCCTGTTACAGGTAGCTTATACAAATATTTTTGTTATAAAGAATTTTGTGGGTACATCCTCCTCTTTTATCTCATATTAACCCTTATTAATGTTAACAGAAGCTATCAATGCCCTTTGGAAAGAATATACTTGTAGTAATAAAGTGCAAATCGGATGTCAATTGCCATATAGATGTAACCCACTGTTCAGTGTTATGTGTCCCCCTCTGTGCTTGACCTATGGAGGATGCGAGTCTGTAATAGCACCTAGATACAGAGCATGACTCTTTAGTGCAAGCTGCACATACTTATGATTTCAGCTCTGGAGGTTTCTGAAATGACATCAAAAGCTAAGTATCAGACACTTTTAGTTTCATTTAGCAAGGACTCTTTAACTGACACTTTAATCCTCCTCCCACTCTCTCCTCTTTTTCTGCTTTATATTTGTCCCTCTATGTCTCTTGCTCCATTCAGCTGAAGAAGTGGGTTGTGCCCACGAAAGCTCGTGATACTATTTATTTTTTTTAGTCTCTAAGGTTCTATAGGATCACTTGTTTTAAGTTACAGACTAACGGTAAGAAGTCATGTTGGCCAAGAAGGCCGGGAAAGAAAGCTAATGAGATACTAAAGAGGTCAAGGTAAAGCAAACATGGGAAGATATGGTCAGAATTAGTGTGTTGAAGTGGGTCAACAGTACTGTATCTAACTTCTAAGCAGAGAACGTCAGACAGGATAGGAGTCTCCACTATTGACAGACCTAGGTAAATCTACATCTTGCTGTCAGACACACAGGATAGTTGCTGAAAAAGCATACAGCATTTCTACAAGTTGTAGACACTGTTACTTCCACATCCACAGGAGACAGATCAAAGCATTTCAATAGAAAACACTACAAGATCATACAAATTACATCACAGTGATGCAACGTTTTTCATCAAACAGTGCTGCATAGTCATTCTGAAACTCCGGCCTCATAAGCTGCCTTTGTGGCTTCATAGTACAACAAAGAGCTTCTTGCACTGACTATTACTGTTGCCTTTCTTCCATGGAAAGAAAATATTACTTCAAACTGATGGAATATGTTGTGCATTAATAAGAATGTGTTAACATTCTGCCCTGCATTGTTATTCTATGAAAATTCTATTGCTGTTTTTAATATACACTCAGGGACCTGGTCAGCAGAAAATATCACTGACCTTCTGTTCCACACAAACCCAGGAAGGTCAGAGAGACCAAGTCAGGAGAAAATCTGCCAAACAATAAAAAGAAATCTATGTACACTAGATTACTATAAGGGAAAGAATTGTCAGGTAAAATAATGCTCCAGCTCATACACTCTGCACCTGTGACTTCACATGAGGCTCTGGAAGATGGACTGTTTATCTCTATAAAAATACTAGTGTGTTCATTGCTGAAAATGAGTTGGGTATGCTCCAATTGCCAAAGACCTGAGTGTCACTTCTGTGTCAGTCCTGCATCAATACTCTCCCCTCCTTCCCCCCACCGCATCACTATTTAGATGGTGGTAAGAAGGGAGCAGAAATGTTTTCTCTGACAGGCTCGTCTATTCTCCAGACTATGGCTGGCTAGACCATTAATGTTTCACTCTAAGCAGAGAACTTACCTCTAGTCTCTCCAAACCATAACATCAGGATGTCAGAAGATTCAGGACATTCCCATAGCCCAATTACTGCATATTGAATGGCAATCTGATGGATGGACTGCATGACCAGTCAGAGAATGATTGTGTACTCAGTGGCCATGGAATACCTACTCTAATGTGAGACCACTACTGAAGAAGACTCACAATTTCAAAATAAAAAGGAGCCTTATTAGAAGCACATCCAGGAAGGCCCACAGAACTTTGTGGGCTACCTTTTGTGTTCTAGGATCAATAATTATGTGACAAGTATAGCAAATAAACAAGTGCTTGGTGAATAGGACCTGGCTTCTACTCCCAGGAGCTTAAATCTAAGGACCTTATTTTGCAACTGAATCATTGTGGGCAGACCCTTCAGCCTAGGAAGCTCTCAATCTGTAGGGAGTTGACTGCAGGACAGGACATGACCAGAGGGATGATACGAAACACATTGGAGAACGAGGGAGGAGGTTACATCATGAAGTCAGTCTATCTTTGTAAATATAGTGTTAGGTGACAACCTTATCATTGATGTGGGCTAGCACTTATTGGCTTAATAACAAGAACTTTGAGAAGCCTTTTGAAAGAATAATGTGGGGGTCTGTGGCCCTGGGTTATAAAGCAGTTTGAGGTGGAATCAGACATGAAAATGAGAGAGGGATGAGTGAAAAGGAAAGTGAGGCAAGATGCAATGGTTTAGTGAAGGGGCTGGAGTAGGAGTGGTAAAAATTAAGAGCAGAGTCTATTGAAGTCAATAGGAGAGAACACAGGTACAGAAATCTACCTGATTGAATCTGGAATTAGGACTTCATGGCGTAAACTATTATGAAGGTCTTCTGATGCCAATACACATTATTAAGTAGTTCATGGTACAAATGTAGCAGTGGGAGAATTAGTGAAGCACAAAGTGCATTCAAAACTGGGAAAAGTAAAAAACTGGTAAAAACATTGACTAAATATCAATGAAACATTATATATTAGCTAAATTTAAAACATCAAGTTTGAAAAAGTTGTTCATGTGCTGAAATCTTGAATATACATTTTTAATGAATTCTGAAAAGATACACCATTCACTATAATAACATAGTCTGCTATATATTGTAGAGAGTTTGTGAGGCTCTCTGTGTGTTTGTCCAACTGTCTGTTGAGTCCTTTTGTTCAAGAACTCCTCTGGAATGGCAAAAGCTAACACCTCCAAACTTGGTATGCAGCTTCCTTTTATCAGAACTTAAAGCTAGGTCAGGGATTGGTTGTGCTAGAACAATGGGACATGCATGAAATGCAATTGTTTCACATCATTCAGAAAGGGAGGGTGTGAGAGCAGGGACAGTTACAGTCTTGAATAACCACAGGGAACAGCTGTTACTGTCACTCTGGGCTGCCTCCAGACCACTGTGACATGCAGGCCTTGTCCCTCCAAGCCATCCGCAAGTAGAATCCAGCAAGGGAGAAGCAGTTTGTGGCCTGCATGGTCTCTGCCTTTGGCTGGTCCTGGAGAGACCCTGCTCCCATCCCAGGTGAGAAGCTGGTGGGTGAGCAATCTTCTAGTTATATAATAACTAAAATGTTACTGCTAAAGTCATTTTTATTTACTTTCCAGTTTGTGTCTTTCTGCAGCCTGTAATGGTGATTTTTAGGTACTGGGAGTCTTACTATGCTGGGGTTTTTTTCTGTTTTAGTAGCCTGCTTTCATTTTCTTGCAGTTAACTGTGTTTCTTCTTTAGGAACAAAGAGGCCTTCAGATTTGAGTACTGTAGAAATAAACGTATATTGGCTTCACTACTAGGTTGTTCTTGGGAACAACCTTTAAATCAAAGTGCTGAGATGTGAAAAGTAGGAAAAATAGGAGCGATGGAAGGTTTTTTCCAAAGATAAGAATAATCCAACCATAAAATTAACCATATAAATTATCTCTCTCAACTGAACTAGAGCACCCACAATGCAACAGACAGAATGTTTACTCCAACTGCCTGCTGGGATGGATGGCTTTGTTCTGCACCTATTAGAATATCCATAAAATTAACACTGACAGCATGTTGCTTGGTAAACAAACACAGCTTGATTGATGAAGACAAACTGCTGAAATTCCCACAAAGATTTGACTGTCGGAAAGACCTCTATACATTTTAGCAGCAGTTAGCTATCACTTCCAACCCACTAGTCAAAAGCAGCCAAGTAATTTAACAAATGTGTTTTAATGCAATCATAAGTGACTTGATTGCATTAAAATCCACTTATTGTACAACAGAATTTCTGTATTTCATTGAAATACAGTACAGAGTTTAATTGATGTGGAAACATACAGATTTTGTTTAATATCCTTATTAATCCCACCAATTTTGCTAATAAGATTACAGTTGAAAAAGCAAACAGACTGTAATGTTTACATGTAAAAAAACAAAAACACTATTGCAACAGACCCTCTTACACTACAGCCCCAATCCGGCAAAACACTTACGTACTTGATTCACTTTAAGCATGTGAATAGTCCTATTGATTTCAATGGGATTCTTATGTGCTTAAAGCTATGAAGTGGGTTTAATGGGCTTCTTACATGCTTACAGCTATGCAGGTGCTTACATGCTTTCCTGGACTGGATGGTGTTTCTAGCCTCTGTTTGTAAGAAGCTGGGAACGGGCAACTGGGATGGATTACTTGATGATTGCCCATTCTGTTCATTCCCTCTGAGGCACCTGGCATTGACCGTTGTTGGAAGACTGGAATAGTTGGCCATTTGATCTGACTCAGTATGGCTCTTCTTATGTTCTTATCTGTTTTCCTAGCTGCAGTAATATGCATCTGAATGGACAAATCATTGTTATACTTAATAAAACAGCAATAAAACTAAAAATTACATAACTGAAGCAGTTAGCACATATTCCCTCTGAGGCACCTGGCATTGACCGTTGTTGGAAGACTGGAATAGTTGGCCATTTGATCTGACTCAGTATGGCTCTTCTTATGTTCTTATCTGTTTTCCTAGCTGCAGTAATATGCATCTGAATGGACAAATCATTGTTATACTTAATAAAACAGCAATAAAACTAAAAATTACATAACTGAAGCAGTTAGCACATATT